ACATAATGTTGATGATGGGTTGTTTAAAGTTAGCTTATTTTTTATGGATCCATCACGTGGAGACATTGACAACTAGGTCCTGTTCTCCATGACAAACTGAGTCACCCAACTAGTACTGATTTGGGTGGATGTTAAACCTGCCACTGTTAGATCACATGTCCGAAGCCTTATCAAACGGGCTGCCATGGTTTCTTGGCTAACAATGTGAAAGTTAAGGCGGCACATACCCACACTATTTTGGTAGTGGGTGTAGGAATACGACCGTCGAATTATAAACTCATTGCTAAAATAGAGAAGAAAAAAAATCATTGCATAAATTGTTCTTACGACACTCCTTTAAGGTTTAGAGCTTCCGCCTCGGATGCGACAGGTCACGGGTTCCAATCCCGGCAGAGTCAAACAAAAGATTTATAAAAATGGTACTAACAGCTGCCTCGCTTGGGGCTCAATATTAAGAGGTTAAGGTTAGGACTGGTCAGCCTGGTGTCAGGATAATGGGACTGGGTGGGGCATGATGCCACATGTTAGCGGCATGATGCAACAATGCTATACGTCAGTATAAACTGAAGCACTGCAGACATAGCAGCGATATTACTGAAGGAGTGTTATAGCTACCTTCAAAATCCAAATCACACACACACACACACACACACACACACCTCTTTATGAAGGCTAATATTTTTATACCGAACTACAATCTATCCGAGACTGACAATCCAGAAACATACAGTTTGATTTGCAGAAATATCTACAACTTTGTTCACCCTGCCAATGTAAAAAAAAATACATAAGAAATCAACTGCTGTTACAGAATTAAGAATTGTTTTTAAAAGAGCTATTTTCTTGGAGAGTGTGACATTATTGCACTATGAGTGCTAATTATATGTAGAAAAGTCCTTATTTGGATGAAAACAGTTAATTTATCTTAGAAATCAATTATGTCCCTTACTGTACAAAAATATATACGTTACCATTAAAATGTTTCAATAATGCATGAATCGATAAATGTTATTTTTGTGGAATATTTCTCTAATTAAAAGACAATGCTTGACAATGAATAATCCACCCACTTCCCAGTTTAAATACAATGGGATGCGTTTACAGGATTGTCAGACAAGTCGTATTCATGAGAACCAGAGTTTACTGTCATGATCGTCAAACTGGGCAAACTCATCTAACAACCAGAGATACTGACCTAATCGTCAAACCTTACAAACTCATCTGAGAACAAGACCTATTGTCGTGATCTTCATTTTCTCAATTACCCGATGCCTCTCGTCTTTGCCATCGATAGAGTGATTTAAGAGTATCGGCACGTCTTAGGGTTAAACTCGACCTGCGGCGATCGATTACTTCGGGAGAGAAAATGTACCCTTCGCCAGACACGTGCAATGGGTACATGAGTCTTAATCCTGGGAGTATATATATTGTTTTCAATTTATTTATGCTGAAAATAATGAAACAGCGAACATAGAGGGAAACATTTCAGAATCATTCACGTACAACTGGGCACAACAATCAGCGACATTATCATTATTATTATTATTATTATTATTATTATTATTATTATTATTATTATTATTATTATTATTATTATTAGCTGGTTTAATAATAACATAATTAATCAACTAAATAATTAATTAAATGTTTATAGCTAGCACTTTACTTAAGAAAACACCTCTGGCAACTTTAATTTACAAACTGAAGCCGGATTTTACGTTGCTGTTAGAGTATAACAAAGTCATATTTATGTCTTCATATGAAATAAATGATATACATGTTTAATATCATAAAACAAATACAGAAATCACGGTCAACAGTTTGCTAGAGTGAAAAAATGACCTTTTTCATCCTTAAATGAGTGCTATTTCCTATAGTTCGATCCTTTTAAGTGATCTCATTCAGTACTATGCTTTATTAAATGTCATACACGGTGGAACACATATTTAATTTAGTGATTTGTATATCAACATGACACGTGTAATTACAAACCCAAAACAAGGTGAGAAATTAATATTTTATTTAACAAATAATATTTAAAATAACGGAAAGAATGAATCTTAAATAACATCATTAAGTGATGTTTGCAAACAGTGCTTTTGCAAATGAATGGACGTACAAATAAAATTTCATAGACTGAAAACTCAATAACTATATCGAAGCAATCTACATTCACGTAAATTATTTGTTTATAAGGTGAAAACTTATGATAAACCATCATGGCTATATCCAAGGTGTCGAAAACTTCCATGAATCCAAAGAACTTCCTTCTTACGCCAGATTCAAGTAAATAAAAAAGCCAAAGACGTCACTTTCTACTGCCACTCTGGAAGTCAACTCTATCCCAACGTCAGATGCTTCGTATTACAGTCATAATATTGATTTCAATGATGATACATTGTTCTCGGACATTACAGCAAAAGTGATAACACTTCGCCAAAATGGCATCGATTAATTCGCATAAACGAGTATTCTTCCGAAAGAGGCAATCCTGTAGATAAACATCCTGATTGTTTTACATGAAGTCTCTAGATCATTATCGGACGAAAAGTTTTCCTATCTCTGGTCATACAAGTGGAGGAGAATTTGTCAGAGAACAATTCTCGCCTGTTTATGACATGGGTTCAAAGCAATAATAAGACCAGTCAGTTCTGACAATGTGCTGGAAATTGTCTATCTGTCTGTGGGGAGAACAGAAAAAATTACTTCAATAACTATGTATCTAACTTTTAGAGAAACGACAACGGAGATCAAATCAGTTGATACGTCCAAGAATGAAACACCAGAGAGTTCTCCATTTCCTCCGCCACGCAGGAAAGAATTATTACAAAATCATCTGAAGAGAAACCCTAAGATCAAGAGATAAAGACTGGTTATGATAAAACACCAACTATAATAGAGATCAAGCAGATACCATTCAACCGACGAGATTACCTAAAATAAATATATACATACAAGAGCTGTCACAAATGTAAATGTCTGTGAGAGATTCCAAGGGGAAAGAGGCAGAGTCTCTGATACAAAACTAAATCTAAATTCAAATTCACTATATATTTATAAATCAAGACAAAATTTCAGAAAACGTCCCTTTTTGAGAAAAGGTGCAAAATTTGCGTCAATTGATACGCTGAGTTGGGATGTACTAGCAACATCAAAAGAAAAGTGCACGTGAAATATGGAGTCACGATTGAAAATGAATGGCATCATGAAATCAGCTGTCACATCTATACCAGTAATATAATTAATGACATCCTGAAATCAGCTGTCGCATCTACACCAGCACTAATTAATGACATCCTCGAATCAGCTGTCGCATCTACACCAGCAATAATTAATGACATCATATAATCAGTTGTCGTATCTAGACCGAAGAATAATGAAGAATAGTGTGGTTTCAGATCAGTCAGAACATGCAGAAAATGGCTATCTTTGAAAAAGAAATTATTCTCATGAAAATTAATTGCATGAGGATTTCATATGTGTAAAGCATAAGCAGTATCATGTAAGCCAACCACATGCATGCGGATTCTACATTGAATCCATCAGTTTCTATGAAGATATTACACAGCCATATTCAACTGGGGAAAAACACCTTTTATTGCTATCAGCGTGACTTTGATTACATGTAGATTAAAAGTAAGACAGCAAATATTAGGCTATTTCAATAAAAGACATTTGTTAAAAACTTAATTCTGAGTAGTCGTATACGGACGTACAAAGATTGAAATTGTAGTGCATGTTATGGGGAGATAAAAATCTTTACTTGTTTTCAAAGTTAAATGGACAATTTCGCATGTAAACTCAGTTTCCATTCCATGTATTAAATTTGACAGGGCTGGTTATTAATTTTACTTCCGCTGAAGTGAACGAGGATGTAAAATAAAATGTAAACAATTTGTTAATTTGTTAATGCCAAGACTCAGTGACATTTATCAAAAATCTGCATGTCTACATAATTACAGAGTAAATATATGTGTTATAAATGACTTTTATGTTTATGTGTGTGATAGCAGGTATATTTAAATAAATGTGACGATAAATATTTTATTTTCGCGTTATCCGTCATACATTATTATGCACCAAACCTGGGACTAACGCAAATCTTATTAATATCAATTAGGTGACAAATATTTTCATTATTGTTTCAAAAATAACACAACAACTTTTCGAAATAATGAACTTTGTATCCTTAAAAAGGAAACATAATTTTCAAAATAGCAACAAAAAAAAAATAGTTGGTTATATTCAACCTTAGACTGGCACACATAGTCGAGCTGCCCGGTATAGCTGATCCATACAAATATTGAAGCCGTCCTGTTCCAAACGGAAAAGCGGAACTATGCTAGTTCAGATTTGATGTCATCAATGAACATAATTACAACAAATCTGAGTAAAATACTTCACATGATAATGAAGGCAAAGGGCATTCTATGTGAGAATCCAAGAAAACTGATGTGATTGTGAAATTAGCATGACCAACAGTCTTGCATGAGCTCCGTAACTAAAAGATTAAATGGAACATTTTAACTGGTTTGTTTTCAGTACTAACTGAACTGTCTCTGAATCTGTCGAATATTCGGTCCGGACAATGCACATATTTTGCCAAGTTATTTATATTGCTCATTGGTTGGTAAATTATAAATATATTAGTATAATGCAAAAGTACAACTTCATCTATGTATCCTAGGGGTGATCGGGGGAGAACCAGGTAATCTCATGTTTTGTTTACATTTGCAGTCTTTACCATGGCCGGATAAAATTATTGATCTAGGTGAACTGAAATTTGATTCCCCTGAAAAACGATTTTAATAACCCATTACATAATATTCAGGGAAAGTTGAAAATTAATTACAAATGGTTGAAAAAAGTCAGTTATAATGAATTTAATTGTTATTTTATGTGCTGTAGAGGCGGTGAGATCACAGATGTTACACAAGAATGTCCATCAAGACGTCTATATGCTCATAAAAGGATAAATTCCCAAACTCTACCAACCTCAGGACTGCTCCGGTGGCTTAGTGTTTAGAGCGTCCGCCTTGAATACGGGAGGTCATGTGTTCGAGAACCGGCCGAGTCATACCAAAAACTTATTAAAATGGTACTTACAGCAACCTCGCTTGGTGCTCATCATTAAGAACTTAGTGTTAGGACTGGTCGGCCTGGTGTCAGGATAATATATTTGGGTGGGACATCGCGATACATGTCTTCGGAATTGCATCCGAAAAAGTCACTCACCTACAGTGCGTAGTGATCAATCATTAAAAACGAGTCTGCGAAGCTCAGCCCTATCAAACTACCTATCTACACCCTACAGTTCTCTTTCTTTTATGCTTTTTTTCCAGCCGCCAAACCAATTTTTACTTTTTTTTATTTATTCGTATGTTAGAACTTTATTTTAAACTCGCTCATCTCACTTATTTCATTTTTTAAAATTTTATTTACTTCGGACAGGCAATTTTCCTAGTTTAAGAACAATCAACAGTCGTTTCCTGATATTTTTCCATCGCGAAATATGAAAAATGGCGCACCGAGCTTTGTTAAAGGAATAAAGAAAATTCAAAACACATTTTTTGTAAAATTAATTTTAAATCTTGGGTTAACTTTAAAATCTCTATTTAAAAAATACAAGAATAAAGCCAGTCAATGGTCATATACACAGATATACAGATGGCGCGTAGGTAACGCTAATGGGCAGATCATTACAACTTTTAGAGTCAAATAAACATAATAAGTAATATGTCATAGTGAGCAACACCAGTCATTTTGATTCTTAAAAGTTATACATATATTTAAAATAAAATAAAACTAAATATTCAGGGGAAATTGAGTTGTGATAAAGACAAAGGGTCAATTGAAAATAAGAACACTCTACTTGCAAGGTTTCTTTTTTGTCCTTTCTTCGTGCATTCTTTTCACTTCTAGCATATAAAACAAGGTACACAAAGCAAACGAACGTCTGCTGATATGCTGCATCATTCACCTTCCGCCTCTACGTTGGTATAGTAGTGGTTATATTTGTGACGTCACAATGGGGTTTTTTTTTTGTTTACTTTGATGGCATTTAGACTATAACTCAATCATATTGCCATCTCACTTATCAAGTTCTGCTTTCTCAAATGAAAGTTTCGCTCACTTGTATACTAGCTGTCCAAAACAAAGCGTGGTTTCAATAATGTATTTCATGTTCATCATCGTCATCGTCGTCTTCGTCATCATCATCATCATCATCATCATCATCATCATCATCATCAATCTGGAGCAATCTAGGGCCTAATTTATAGTATAAGTAGGGGATACACAATAAAAGATGAAAATATTATGAAAAAATGAGTATGCAAAAGAAACAGTGTTTCAAAAAAATTTCCTTAGAATAAACGAGATGCTGACAGCTGATTTGAAAGTCTTCATGTCCCGTAAAATTGCTAGTAATGTTAGGAAGCAAAGGGCAGAAGGATCAGGTCTATATCTTAGGACGTTTGTAAATATTTACAAACAAGGTACCTTCGCTTGCACAGACCGATTAAAGAAGGATATTTCACCGCGTCGTTTTGAATGGCTAATAAAGACTAATAATATTGCAGGTCGGTATTCAAAGTCACTTTATCGACTATTTCACGTTGAGGAAATGGAAATGAGTCATGTTCCCTAGGACACACTGAGCCACACGAACCTGGCTGGCTTGTATGGGAATTAAACCCACTACCGTTTGAACCCCTACATGTTTAAAGCGCTGTCATATGAGCTGACGCGGCTTTCTAGCTAAAAATGTAAAAGTAAAAGTGGTACTAACTCATTCCCTGAAGCCATTAGTATTTGCCGTGGGAATAGGCTGGTCCGTTGTGGGTTGGATTAGGCCGATAAATCAGCCCCACACCTATAATGACAGCCAGTCATTATCATCTATAGATTTGGGGCTAATTTATGTCATGAAAGGCATGTGAGGAAAAAGACCAAATAATTTTTATAAAGCCTGATTTTCTATTTCACTTCAACAGGTGACGAGTTCATTCATGCTCTGTGTTAAATAAGAATGAACGTTTTCAATGTATTAAAAAAAAACTTTCTGTTTCTTAAAAGCAATTCAAGGTCAGTGGGACTAGACGTTGTTGTTTTGCTACTTTATAATTGGGGTTGAACAACAATAATTTATTCGTCCAGAGCGTTTGCTCTACTCGGTCCTTAATCCCACACCTTATTACTACAGGTTATCTTGTTATCTGCAATGTTCTTAGTAATTTTGATTTGTGCCTTTCTTCCCAGGAAATGTCTGTGCAAAAACAAATGTTTGCTTTGTTTTGTTTTTATCTTACTACCCAATGTTACCTGGCTTCTACCCGACAAATAGTTTTGTTTCCGTATATTTTGTTTGTATTTAAGCGCGATTTCCCTACCTTTCAAATCCGCTTTGATCAGTTCGGGAAAAAATCGGTGTCGTACTTCACGCGATAACTTGCGTTGTGAATAGGTTAATTACATAATGAACCTCACCTTTCTAACGAAGGCATTCCCGTATTAAGGCTGGACTTGTATTACGACGCAATTGTCCTAACCTAAGAAAGGGAAAGAAGCGAAACCAACATGTTTGTAAAATTCAACAATTTATTTCCATAAGAAAAAGAACTCGTAGAGTGAATTAAATCCTATATAATCCTAAATGTTCTATAAACATGTTCGAAACAAAGAAAAAAGCGAAGCTAACAAACTTTGTCAAATTTAACAAAATAATTTATTTCCCCGGAAAACAAGATGACAAGATGAGACTGCCTAGTAGGAAAGAATAAAGGAGGGGGAAAATGAAAAAAACAGGGGGGGGGGTAAAAATGGCACAAACAACGCCAATAACGAAGGACAACTGAAACCTGAAAGTATTGACTCCGAACAAGATAAAGACGATAACCAAGACAATAAGGCGTAAATAGACCTGGAAAGCAATCAGGACTCCGAAACGAACAAAATGACCAGGGCATGGGAACGGAACAAGATAGTGACATTGATAAAACAAGAAAGAAAGTAAAATTGAAAATAAACAGAGATGACAACAAGCAAAATTGTAACTTCATATGACACAAACAATGAAAATAGCAGTGAAATATCAGAGGAGGAGCTAACACCACCACCACCCCCCAAGTAAATTATATTTTTTTTTTTCAAAATAAATCTAAAAATTCTAAACAAATAAAAACAGTTAAGGATTTAAATGTACGAATTCATAAAGAGGATGGATGCGGCCATCTGGGATAAGTAAAAAAATTGAGGTATCCAACTTGTGTATAGCATTAATAAACACAAATGGTATAGATAAAGACAAAATATATAAAATGTGTAATTACTAAAATAATTATGATTATACGGAAGGAAAACAAGTGTTTATTATACAGGAAACGACGTAAAGGGGGAGTAATCACTATAATTAAAATTAAAAATTACTTAAATTGGGAACAGATAAAAAAGAAAAAGGGTTCTAGAAGGTAGACTACTTCATGTTAAGGTTAATAGTTTTAATAGTTTTAATATAATAACACATTTTCCGGCAAATAAATTTTAAAAAAACCAAAACGATTTCATTGAAAATCTAGATAAATACATAAGTGAATATACTATAGAAGAGTTAATGCTAGGAGGTGACTTTAACTGGGTAAGCAATAATACAAATAGGAAAGAGAACTTAACTTCAGATGATATAATCGTTAAGAAAACTATGCTAGATTTCTTTTTTTTTTATAAAAAAGAAACATAAACTAGATGATATATACAGGAGATTAAACTTACTCCGTACGGAATACACTTATGATTATAAAAATTGACTAGCCAGCAGATTAGATAGATTATATGGGAAAATAAAGAACTTTGGGAGGGGGGTAAAAACATATAAACTAATAAGAAACTTCTATACTAAAAATCAAAGATGTCAAGTATAAATGTAGAACTGTGGGGAGGATATATTGGAACACTTCATGGTCAAGTTGGACAAACATAAAATCATCAAAAATTAAGAGTATAATTTTCAAATATTTACATAATGCTTGGCTTACTGGTGAAATAGCAAGAAAAAAGGTTATGACAAAAATCATCCCACAGTGCCCTCTATGTAGAGCACACAATTTCACAAAAACACCTGCTATGTTAGAATGCAAAAACAAAAGAAGGATAAGAGACAATATTATTACCTCGATAACTGAAAATAGAACAACAAAATACTAGAAAACCCGAATCCTATATTTGAACGGGAAATTTGACAACACAGCCTTTTTCAGCTTAACTAGTTATAGAATAAACATTATAATGGAATGCGGGCAGGTCATTATGATACGAAAATAACAACCCTTTTAAAATATTACATCCCTAAAATTCTTTACCCTTTTAATATTTTTTTACTAGTCAACTCATAGTAATGGAATCCAGTATACTAATATATTTAAATATATAAATATTACTAGTAGGCTAAATGGACAGGAACCTGACCTGAACATGTATAAAGTAGGAGACAGGAACGCCACCGGTAGAGACCACGGTGCGCTACGCGAAGTGTTAAGGCCGGCGGAAGAGCATCCGAAAAATACGTACGTAGAACATGGACAAACAATACAGCAACATAATGGCTAATAGCAATTAAAAGGATTCCACTGAAAGCAGGGACTAACACCCATCAACATCCATATTTCAAAATACTTCTTTTGCAAATTATTTAATTTTGGATTTAAAGAAGGGAGCGGGAAAAGAAGACTTGGTTATTGTTGAGGGAAACACGTCAGTGAAATAAAAAAAAGACATGCGGCTAAACTGGTCACTACAAAAATATCTTTGAACTCCAGAGTTATCAGTTTACGACGGATTTCAAACACTAAAAGCTTTAGTTTAAACGTGATGTGGTCACGTAGTCACTTAATTCGATTGGCGTATTAAAACCATAAGACGATTGACACGTACGCCACGGACGAATTTTACTCTACCTAACGAATCTTACTGTAAGATTCAATACTAAAAAAGGTTATTTACAAGCCTAAGATGATCTTGATTACGACCAATGATGTTCACTCTGTGTTTGTCAATTTTGAATCAAGGTCAGGAACTAGGTCA